AGTGTGTGTTACCAAATGGAAAAGTGATCAGTTAGAGTTAACCTGAACCCTTCAGGAGTCAGTGCAATTCGAAAACAACAGCATGTAAGGATAGAATGAATCTTGAGTAAGCATAGAATGAATCTTGAGTAAGGATAGAATGAGTCTTTCTGTGGAAGATATCACTGACTGTAACAGGAATGTGATATTGTGAAGTCAATATTAGATTGTATTAGACAAAAATACATTTCTACAAGCACATATACTGTATAATATTATTCAGTAAAAGGAAGCATTTCAATTTGATACATTTCACAATGTATTTCCAGGCATATGGCGTCATTTAATATGCTGTATCGTACAAGCAGGCTCAAATAACGTTCCATGTATAAATGGTAGTTTTTGAGTAAGCGTAAGATGGAAAGTAGAGTTCACGCTACAGTGAAGAATCATAATAATAATAATAAAAAGAAAAATCATCTTAATTTACATTGATATATATTAATCTGTGAGTAAACAAGGTGTTTATTGTGTTGTGTTCACTCCTCAAACTGAGCCATCATATCAGTAACAACAGTGATTTTCCTGCTATGAAAGGTCAAAATGTGAAAAAGGCCTGTTAAGTCCCGCCAGCAAGCACAATACCAGAACTTAGAGACAGAACATCTGAATTGAATGCAACCATTATGAATTCATTATTAAGTAATTCGTTATACCTGTGCTTTTCCTGCTATGACATGTCAAAATGTCTGTGGTGAACAAAGCCTGTTAGTAAAGAAGTTGAATAGGAAAAATCCAACACTGCAAACCTGAAACCAGGGTTCTATTGGATCATTTGCTTAGGGAAAAAAACTGCACTGTTAATAAAAATGTTTGAGGAGGGGTGCGTACGGCAAAGTCAGGTGGTTTGGGGTTTGCCACTGCATATGACCCCGTCACATCATACATGAAACTAAAAGTGACATAGTTACAGCTAAAATGTGATGGCAAGTTAGTAAGAAGATTATTCAAAAACACAAAAAGTGTGGACCAGGAGTGCCGCTTTTATACCAAATTAACTCTGGTTATTGAACTTGTTCCCTTCAGGTTTCAATAACATTTAACAATAAATAATCTTCCTATTATGAATAAACCCGATGAAAACCCTGATGGCATGTTTTCACTTTCGCAAGCAAGGAACTTCCAGTGCTCTTGTTGGATCTCATGGGGGTCACTAACAGGTTTATGCTTTCAGTCCCCACAGCACAGACACTGTGTCTATATTCCTGTGCAGGCTGTCCTTCAGTACTGAGATGACAACACAGATATTGCTGACGTTCACTTATAGCAATGAACTAAATCTGAGTGCAGTGCTGTGTGACTTTGAGCGTAAAGGCAGGACGCAGGAGGATGAACCCAAGCATAGAAAGTGACCATACCCCTGAGTGCTGACATAGACGTTTATTTAAGGCCCAAAGACACGAGCTGCTTAGCAATTCCTTGACACCTGACAGCTGCAAAATAGCAAAAAATGCTGTAGTCATCCGCTGCCAGAGAAAACACTGACTAAAGATCCCCACCACCATGATTTATATTAAATCATTTGGACTCGGATAGAAGTTTCTGTTGTGTACAGTATTGGCATTGTTTGGAGGGCAGCTCGGATATTTGGTCTGTTTTCATTGATCGGCACATTCTTATCTGTGGAAAAGATAACAGAGACAACGCACAGAGATACTGTTGATGAAGCAGCAGGAAGGAGAGCATTATAGCACAGCATGATTAAATGTTTGCTTACAGATTCAATACAACTGTGAAATATAACATGTAAACAGCTGCATGGAAGAAATATAAGAAATCACAGTTAAAAGACTATCGATACTTATTGAGGGATGAATTGTGAATTCAGCACTGTGCGAGGATTTTTATTGACTTTAACTGTTGTTGACCAGAGCACATTGATTAAGAACTAATTACACTGATGAGCAAACAAACAGTGAGAAGCCTCTCCTTGGATTAAGCAATTAAAAGCCTGACACAAATGACATCGATAAATAGCAAATGAGGACTTCAACAGCATGTCAGGACTGGAGACAAGCTTGGACAAAGGACAGGAATGAATGAACAACTACAGAATGCTGCGTCATTTTTTTTCAGTGGGCATGAATTTGGAGTTTGGATGTGACTTTTACTGTCACACTTTCATGATGCATTTAATGGCTTGAAAAAAGGCCATTACACTTGTTTGACTTGTCCATACTGTAAATGAAGTCAGTGTTAAAGGAACAGATCTACATCTTGTCGAATTACTGGCTTTTGGCCAAAGTTAGATGAGAACATTGATACCAATCTCGTATCTGTACACTGTGTAGCTGGAGAGAGCAGCTGGTGAGCTTAGCTTAACAAAAAGCCCGGAGAGGGGAGGGAAAACAGCTAGCCAGGCTCTGTCAGTAGGACAAACAAATTCTACTACAAACAAATACTAATCTGTACAACAATTCGTTGTTTTACATGGAGTTATGTGCCATAGTATGTCTTGGTTGCCTGGCAACTGGTCCTGGCCAAGAAATAGTCTGTGCTGGTAAGTGCTTTTGTTACGTTTGGACAGAGCCAAATTAACAGTTTTTCCTGTTTCCAGTATTTATTATGCTTTATTAAGCTTAAAGGTCCAGTGTGTAAAATGTAGGAGGATCTATTGGCAGAAATGGATTTTAATATTCATAGATATGTCATTAGTTTATAATTACCTGAAAATA